CCCCTTTTGCGGCATTACAGAAAGATAATTGCATGCAATAAAGGAATGCATTTAAAATGGCGTAGCTGTTTTTGTGAAGCCCGAGGGGAGGCGTACATATGTTGAGAGACTTTTCCCCTCCTTGTCATTTTTTTTTTTTTTTTCCCTCCCTCGGCTTTGTTTTGTGTGTTGTATACGTGTAAGTTTTCTTCCTGTCTCTGCAGAGATCACCCAGTTGTGCAGGCCTGTTCGGGTAAAAGTTTCACGCGGCTGATTTGATCCTTCACATTTGGCACTTCACGGTTCGTGTAATTTTATTTTTTTTTATTTTTACATGTACGCGTGGAATGCGCGTTTGTCGTTTTTTTGAACAAAGCATGCATGTGATTAAATCTGTTTCTCGTCCGTACGCGTCATTTTACCAGCAGCAAAATTGTATGTGCGCGAGAGCATATTCCATTTGTAAGCTTACATACATATTTATACCCTTGTTTGTACACATAAGTTTATACTTGTTCACGCATTTGTTGCAAATTTTGATCAAAAGGAAGGTTCATATGAAGCTTAGTTACCATTTTACAACTGTCTGATTCTGTTTTTGTCTTGTTACATCTCATGTTTCATCTCAAATGATTGACCCTTTTTTCTTATTTTAACATGATTATATGAGAAGAGGAAGAACAACAACAACAACAACAACAACAAAAAAATAATTAAAAGCTCAATTTATGTAAGCTTTTTTTTTTCCCCCTTTTTTAAACATGTAACTGTTGTGTTTTTATCAACTTGTTCCCTTTTTTTTTTTAAAAAAAAACCCTTTTTTACTTCTTTCCTTTTTTTTTTTTTTTTTTTTTTTTGTATATATATAATTTGTAAAAAGAAATATATTTGTCTTTGCTTGTCTTTATTTACATGTTTTTTTTTTTTTTTCTCTTAAAAAATAAATGTGGAAATGTTAACATGTTATAACACAACGTTAATTTAAGTGAATATCCAATTTAACTTAAATCAGTTGTTAAATGTGAGATATTTGCAACCCGTGCCTGCTCCAAATTGGTGAAGACCCCAAACTGAACCAAAATAATTTTCTTTTCCCCTTTTTTTTTTTTTTTTGCTTAACCTGAAGCTCCTCAAACACGCATTCGTGAATCGAGTAAGCATTTGCATCTACATATATATTTTGTGTACACTTTCGTATGTTTACGTGTGTATACATGTCTTCGTGAACACTCACACTTCTGCTTCTCGGCGGCCACATACACTCATCCCTCGTGTTGTGCTTGCGCTCCCCCTTTATGTACTGTGTCGAACGCCAGTCCGAAAAAAAAAAAAAAAAAAAAAAATACACAAATAAATATACACATAAGTACCTACACACATACCACCACGTTTTTAATATCCTATAAAAGATTTGCAGCACACGCCCCACCCCCCCTGCTAGTGATCTTCCACACTGTTCCACGAATCCGTTGCATCGAAAACGCCGCTCGAACGGTTGCAGCTGGTCAATAGGGATTGGCCAAAAAAAAAAAAAAAATATATAATCGCGCGCGTCGCTGTGTGTGCCCAGCATAGGCTTTTGCATATTGCATACGTGTATAAGACATATACAAGTTTTACAAAGACCCATAATAAAAAGGCGCCAGGGCTTCCCTTTTGTTTTTTTTTAATTAACAAACACACCGTCCGAAACTATGAAGCTGCTTCAGAACAAAAGCTACCTTTTGGTAGTTTTCCTCCTGTACGTTAGTATATTCGCCAGAGGCGACCAAAACATTGTGGATGAAGTGAAATACCATGAAGAAGTATGTAATGAGAGTGTGGACTTATACCTCCTAATTGATGGGTCAGGAAGTATTGGGTACCCGAACTGGATCACGAAAGTTATACCAATGATCAGTGGCTTGATTGGCAACCTTAACCTCTCCAGGGACGCTATAAACTTATACATAAGTTTATTCGCAAACCACACAACTGAACTGATCAGACTTGGCAGTGGGCCGTCTATTGACAAAAAGCTAGCACTGAAAACAGTTAATGAATTGAGGAAAGTATACATACCTTATGGTAGCACCAATATGTCTTCTGCTCTGGGAGAAGTAGACATGCATTTAAAGGATCGAGTTAACAGACCAAATGCAATCCAATTGGTTATCTTAATGACTGATGGTGTACCAAACAATAGGTACAGAGCTTTGGAACTGAGCAAAATTTTAAAAGACAAAAAAGTGAAATTGGCTGTTATTGGAATTGGACAAGGCATTAACCACCAGTACAATAAATTAATAGCTGGATGTCGACCCCGTGAAAAAAATTGTAAATTTTATTCCTATGCTGATTGGAATGAGGCCGTGGCTCTTATCAAACCTTTTATTTCAAAGGTGTGTACGGAGGTAGAAAGAGTTGCTAAATGTGGTCCCTGGGACCCCTGGACTCCATGCAGTGTTACTTGTGGAAAGGGAACACACAGTAGATCAAGACAAATGTTGCATGAAGGATGTACTACGCATATGGTTAAAGAATGTGAAGAGGAAGAATGTCCAGTGGAACCTGAGCCTATACCTGTACCAGCTCCTGTCCCAGCTGTCCCTGAAGATGTCAACCCACGTAACACGGATGATGACGATGATCATCACCCCAATTTTAACAAAGAGCTAGATGTGCCTGATGTAGATGATGATGTTCCACCTGAAAATGATGGGTCGGATGGAAACCCAGTTGAAGAAAGTTACTTCCCACCAGGAGATGACTCTGTACCTGAGGATTCAAACGTCTTTCCATTACCCCCATCAGTTCCTGAAGGTTCAAATGGAGAATTCCCAACAGATGTGGAGAATAACCCAGATAACACATATAACCCGGATAACCTAGATAACCCCAATAACCCAGATGAGGTACCCATGGAGCCGGAAGTACCTGAAGACAACAACATAAATGAACCAGAACATGTGGACAGTAATGGATATGGAATAAGTGAAAAAGTTATTCCAAAGCCAATTGATAACGAAAAAGACATCAGCAACAAAAACAAAACAGTTCATCCTAACCGATCAAATCAACCTCATGATAGGTATGCAAGACCACACAAAAACACAGAGGAAAATAATAACAATAATAATGTAAATTCAGACATTCCCAACACTCCCATCCCATCATCTGAGTACGAACAACCTGAAGATAAGGGAAAGAAGTCATCATCGAACAATGGTTACAAAATTGCAGGAGGAGTAATTGCTGGATTAGCTTTAGTCAGCTGTGTTGGATTCGCTTACAATTTCGTAGCGAGTGGAGGTGCTGCAGGAATGGCCGGTGAACCTGCTCCCTTCGATGAGGCGATGGCTGAAGATGATAAAGACGTTGCAGAGGCAGACCAGTTTAAGTTACCAGAGGATAACGACTGGAACTGATTGTGATGTTGCGGAATGATGTTGTGGAAGGAGCCGCGCTAGAGTGCGCAATATAGTAAGCTTACTAAAGGCCCTCGCAGGGAGGAGGAAAAAAACACACGCACACACACGCAACATTGTACCGTACGTGTTTACATATGTAGGGTATATATTATGTACGTAGGGTACACTGTTCTGTTGTGTGCTTTTACTCTTGAACCCTCGCACCAAACTACAAACGCAATTTTTAAATAGCTGCACACATATAAATTTAAAACGATGTTTTTTTTTTTTTCCAAACTTAATCGCTTTTTTTATTCTGCTCGACTAACACCGCTCGCCGTTTGTTTCGCTATTTTCATGAGTCACGTTTGTTTGCTTCACCTTCTTCCATTTTACTTTATTCATTTACATTTTTGTCTTTTTTTTTTTTTTGGCGACTCTTTCGCCTGCCACATTTCCCCCCCTTTTTTTTTTTTAACATCCTTTTTGATGAAAACTTTACCAAGGTTTGTGTTACATATAATTTGTGCTACTTTTTAAAATACCTCTCCGTTGGGAAAAAAAATGAAGAAAAAAGTAAATCAAATGGACAAAAAAAAAAAAAGACAAAAAAAAAAGGTGTACAGAGAAGTAGGAAAAAAAACAGGTGACACAACAAATAGATATTTGGGACTTAAAAAGGGAGAAAAATTCTCCATTTGAAAAAAGGACAAATAAACATTCCGAATTCGGCCTCGTTGGGATTGCTCACAGGTGTTCGAGAACGAGTTGATCGTGTCGGAGTGCTACACACACAGGGGGATGGAGACATTCGAACGGAGGTTGTCTATATGTAACCCCCATTTAGGCGCAAAAAATGGCATCAAAAACGAACTGGGGGATTTTCAAAAAATCGTCGACGATGGATCGTTTTTCCATTCCCTCGCCACTTTGGTCCCCCGCTGCAGGGTCCAAAATGCCTAACTTCTCGCACAAGCATTGCGCAAATTCGTATTCCTGAATCTGGAAGTTTGTGTTCACATCTTCGTTTGCAATTTCTCTATTGTAAAAGTCGAGGTAGTAAACTTTTAGCTTTCCCCTTAATTCTTCAAATTCTGCCCTCTCCGCTGGACTCAGAATATTCTCCACGCATTTTCTCAAACTTCCGTCCGCATTTATCTTCCCCTCCTTCATTCTGCAGTAAAAATAAAACCTATACCTTTTCTTCAAGTCGTTGTTAAAATTAATTTTGTTTTTCAAAACGTAGATTTCGTTTTGCGCCTCCTTCTCTTCATGCGTTAAAGAACTACCGGTTTGCACCCAGCTCTTTTTGGGTACATACAATTCGAGTAACTCGCTTTTGCTCAGCTTCGTTTCCATTTTAGGGTTCATTAATTTTGCATATCTCATGTTTAGATCTTCTATCTCTTCTTCAATGGCGCGACTGTCAGGCTTCTCCACGTGTCTGCTTCCGAAAAGTGTGCGATAAAATTTGGAGCGCCGGAGTAGCATTTCTTCCGCATGATGCTTCCCTGTGCTATACAAAACGAAGGTGCTCTCATCACCGCTATCAACATCGAGGCTGAAGCTATTGTATGGAATTGTATAACTGTCTTCCCTTTGTCTGCTCTTCTTGTCGAGTACCATGGCATAATCCTTATTTGCATTTCTGCGTGATGATCTCGTATATGCGTCTTCTAGGGAGCTATCTGAATAGTCTTCATATTCCGTTTGACCAAACATTTGTTTCCTTCCCGTTGTTATATCAATCTGTGTGCGCGCCTCGATTGACCCCTCATCGTGGATTCCCCTTTGGTGCGGTAAAAGGAAATCTTTTCTGAGGCGATCTAATTCGCGCTTCTTCACTTGGTCAATACTGTTTTCCTTTTTTTTATAAAAGGCCCCTTCAAAGTTATTTTTTGGCTTATAAATGTCTTTAATTAATTTTTCAAAGCCCTTTTGTTCTTCCATTTTTATCGCAATGAGACGATTTCGAGAAGACAAAATGTTTATGTATTCATTTTCGTTTCTCTCCGTTGAGTGTTGTGTTTGTTCCCCTACTTTGTGTCTGATTTGTTCGAAAATGGTTGGTAGTTTGGGTCCTATCGGTTTGCGCCTTTTTGAAGAGTCTCCTTGAAGCACATCATCGTTGATGGGTTCCTCTATGCAATTCGTCTCAATGTGCCGCGTTTTTTTTTCATCACGGGGGGAGGACGTAACATATGTACCAGCGCCCATCGACGTGACATAATCCTTTTTATCAATCGTATTGGCGGTGTCACCCTTGGACACATCTTCCCTCATGTATTTGTTTGCCACTTGAATGTTTATTCCGATGGGAATGCCATCAATATAGTTGTTGTTCCTCAACAGTGCATAAGACACACTTTCGTTGAAAAAGGTAAACTGGAGGTCATCTGCATAATTCTCCTTATCATCAAAGTACCCACTTGTGATTATATCCTCATAGATGCTATCCTCCTCATCAATGTAATCATAAATTCCTTTTTTGGTTACATCTTCATTTCGTTTATATCTGCTGGATATGTAATTGCTGGGCTTGAATTCATCCTCTGCTTCTGCCTGCTCTTTTTCCTTCCTCCTTTTATTTCTTTCTCGCTTTTCCTTCTTCTTCCTTTCCTCCGATAGCAAATTTTTGTAGTACACATAAAAGTCATACTCATCGTAGTGACTGTGCTTTCTCTTTTTGCGAAATTCTCTCCTCACTTCATTCACGTCGTGGTTGGTCAGTTTCGTACCCAGGAAATCGGACATGGTTCTGTATTTTTTTCGTCTTAAACAAGGGCATCAAATGTGGTTCAGACGATGCGCATTTTCACACCACATGGGGGGGGCGACATATAAAACAACCTGCTAGCCCCATCCCCCAATAGGAACAAAAAAAAAGGCTCCCTTTTTAAAAGAGGAAACGAAGCAACACTACTCATAAAAGCGAGTTACCCACTTTTTCTTAATCATCCAAATGGGGGTAAAAGCATTTCGCCTAAACAATGATCAAATTTTTTTTGCCGGGTAGAATATTCCACATTTTTGTAAAAATTGGCATGACTCTATTTCTACACAAATGGTGAGCAGGCAATTTTGCATTGCATTGTAATTAATATCTTGTGCACGTGTTGCCGCGAAATGGGGTCCCTTTTTTTTTTTTTTTTTGTTTTTCTCTAATTTGTGAATATTTTCACTTGGTTTAAAAGTACCAACTGTTTTATAAAAATTTGCCGGGCATCTCGTATATAATTGAAGCATCGTCCATTTAGGTAGGAAAGAAAAAAAGGGCACTCTGTGGCTGGGCTCAAAATCGCTTGACCTCTTAAAATTAAGCAATAGTTTGCACGTAGTAGTGGTTATGTATTCATATGCACATAGGTGTGTACGCATGAGTTATATGTGCTAAACGTAACACGCCATTGGCCTACCGCTTTGCACTGTTCTTTGCTCGGCGGTCAAACAATAATGTGTAAGACGAACTAAATGCGAACACGTGATCGTTGGTGAAAGGGTGCCACCACTGGAAGAACAAATTAAAATGGAGGGGGGAACCAGCAACAAAGATAAGCTCTTCTTTAAGTTATATGAATATATAAGCAAGTTAGATAATTTTGCATGTGATGATGTTAGCTTAGAGAAGGAGGGGAGAAAGAAAGTTCTATACATTAGTAAAAAGTCAAAGGGAAAGAAAAGATTGGCTCATTGTCCCCAGGCCACGGAGAAGGCAGAGCATGGAGAACGTAATATAACAGATCGAAGCCATGTGGAAGCTGGTGAGGAGAAGAGTGGTCCATTTTGCGCTGACGACGGCAGAGATGACGACGATAGTTACACCATCAGTTGTAGTAGCAGTTGCAGCAGCAGTTACAGCAGCCGCGCGGACGAGGCGGAAACTGCTACCCCCGTCGCCCCGCGGGATTACCCTGTGACAGCGGAAAACGATGAGGAGGGTGGCCCAGTTAATGTCCACTCGTATGGGCACACTCACCCAAACAAAAAGACAAAGAACACAAAAAAGAAAAGGAGCAGCGGTCAAAGAAGCAACGGCCATAGAAGCAGCGGTCAAAGCAGCGGCCAAAGGAACGACCTCCTATGCGAAATCGAAAACTACTACGTAATTTCAAAGCAGAAGAGAAAAATGGAAGAGTACAAAATCGTAAACGAAATTAAAATTATAAACAGCCAAGGGAGTTGTAATCCTTCAGGGATGATGCAAAAAATTAATGACATTATCAGTGCATATAAAAAGATTAAGGATGAATTAGATAAGCTAGAGAAGAACAAACAATTCATATACGATACGTTTTACTCAATTTTCTTGAACTATTATTCCAGGTATGAAGAATTAAAAGTAATCAAGGGGAATAAACGCAGAGTAGAACGCCACTTGGAATTTTACACCAACGTCGATCATTTCGAAAAGGTACTCAACCACATGGAGAAAAACGAATATGCTTATTTTATTGACATGCACAATAATTCTTTGCAGAAAAGTGCAGGGAAGGTATACTCGGGAGAGGTACTTGAGGGGGACGATCAGAGTGATTATAGTGAGAGCGAGACGGACTCGGGGGATGAAGACGGAGATGTGTACATGGACAAATGGGACGCGGAAGATATACAGAACTGGGGAACCTCATACGGTACCGAAGGCGGGGACACAGACGGTGAGGGAAACCAGGGGGAGGATGAAGAGAGCCACGAAATTGATAACTCCTTACTTAGTGAATGGGAGAAGGAGGAAGAGCTAAGTTCATCTGTCGAAGGATATGCTAATGCTACCCAAACGGGGCAACATCACGATGAAGGTGCAGTTCAGGGGGGTTTACTTAATGGTAGGAACGAAAGGGAATCAGCTCCATTGGAAGAAGACGCAGGGGTGGACGCAATGGGGAGCAATCCCGTGAAGGGGCAACTGCGCAGTCGTATATGGTGGGCGAAAAAGAAGAAAAGAAGGAGCTCATCTCGGGGGATATTAAATGGGGTAGCAACCGGTGCAACACACGGTATGTCGAACGGAGGGGCCCTTACCCAAGGTGCAAATCAGCCCCGCCGTGGCAAAACCAAAAGGGGGAGCGAGAAGAACGAAATTTGTCACATGCTTGAATTTTCCGAAAAGGCCATAAAATTCTTCAAGAAAAATGGCACCTATTTGCACGCCAAGGCTAAATTGACCAAGTACCAGTCCATCATAAGACGTATTTTGAAGTACGTTATTAATTTGTTTAGGGACGTTCTCAACAACGCAGAGTTGAATATGTCCTCTGATAGAGGGGGTGAGAGTTTGACCCTGTATGGGACCTCGTCGTTTCAGCAAAATGGCAAAGAGGTGACCGTGTCGCAGGAGGTAAGCTGTGGGGGAAAATGGTGGGAAGGCAGTAATCTGAGCGAAAAAAGACTACCTGGGGAAGACAACCATATGAATAGATTCAAATCTAACGATATGAAGGATTCCCCGCAACGCATAAATGATGAGAAAGATGAATCGAATCATAAACAGCCACATGAGGAAGCTAATTTGACAGACGAACTGGAGGATAATCAAATTTACAAAAACATAAGCATGATATATTTTAGCAAGTATATAAATGAACTGGAGTACTACAAGAAGTTCAAAATAAAGTGCAGCAGCATGCGAGATGTAATATACTTCATTTATGAAAAATCCCTAGTGGATGAAAATAATTTGTACACAGAGGAATATAGCAGTTTGGAAAATTTCTACGTCAGCACAAGGGTAAAATTATTGAACAGTAATATACTAAGCAGTAATGTATTGAGCAATTTTGAGTACCTACTGAAGAGTGATATTTGCAAGTATATAAAGAACATTTGTCTGTTAGCCATGTACGTTTCTAAGTTAGAGGTAGACTTGTACACATATATATTCAATAACAATCTTAACAATTCCCTTAACATTATTTTGAATAACATTGGGGTGTGTATATTTGACTGTTTACATGACTGCATCCACCACCTTAACAATATACAGTTGATTAGAAAAATTATTCGAATCATTTATGTAGACCTCATCGAAACATATAGTGATAATTCCTACAGGGTCATTTGTGATTACTTAAAAAAAATTTGTAAAATTTTGAAAGACAAATTACTTTACGTGATTGAGATGTACATTTCGTACTACACCAAAAATACGAATGCTACTTTGCCCTATGTATGCTTCAACCCTCTGAGGACAAAATTCATCAACATGGTCAACAATTTTTTGTATGATGAGTATCTCCGCACGAGTGATGAGCATACTAAGGGGGAGGGGTACCCTGTGAAAACCGGACAGGAGGCATCGAGCAAGGAAGGGCGGAATGGACAAGTGAATGGCTTATTTTCCTCCAATGAGAATAATCACCCTATCGGTGAGAGCGTAATGTGTGGGGATAAATCTGAGCCAGTGCGCAATTTTGAAAATTGTGATGAGGAGGGAAACCCAATGTGTGAAGACACTCACAACGTAGATGACCCGTCTAGGAAGAGAACAAGGAGTGTCAACAGCGCTGAAAGTGTGGAAAGTCGGGATAGTATGGAAAGCTTAACTAGTGGAAGATACGCGAAGGAAAGCGAATGCAACAAGAATGTGCTGAGTGAGAAGAATGTATACAAGCCCTTTTCCTTCCACCGCCGTGCATTTAATAAGGACACTAAATTCGGCCTCTGTGGTATAGACCTAAACATTATTGGTACCATCCTAATTTTGAAGACGATACATTTTATAATTGACGAAGAGACGTTGCTGGAGCTGTTCAGGGAGTGCCTGGAAAATAGTTTCAACTCCATAACATGCATTTATAAGGAGCACATGAAAAATCATCCTGACGACATGTTTAATGGCGCTCTTTATTTAATTAAAAATTTGAGTCTTTTGCTATATTTGTTTTACAAAGTTACAAAGGATGGCGAATTTGTCCGCTTTTACCTGAACAGCGGGCTGACAGAGCAGCTCCTCTTGGGGGCATCTCCAAAAGAATGGATAATGGACAGCCATAGTGGCAGCGGGAAAAAGGAAGGAGACAAAATGGGGGCCGAAAATGAAAACTCCATTTTGTGCTTTTTCAAAAGGGTTTACAACATGTCGTCACAGAACGTGCAGGACCAAATCCTGGACGCCTTCAACGATGCCATTTACAACTTTACTGTGGCCACTGTGTCAAGGGGTAAGTGCGATTTAGCGGTGCGAGTGCATGTACTTATTCGCCGCTACTCTCATATGTGTGTGCCTTTATTGTTGCTGTCTGCCCACCCCCGTGAGACTACCTCCAACTCAGCGAAAAAGTCAACCTGCCAACTGCGTGTATAAACTTTTTCTCCTTTCCGCCCTCTTTTCTTCTACAGTATGTTCCCCCTTGATTAAAATCCTGTCCATGGAGTACAAAGAAAACAGTGTGCTTCAAAAGGAGGAAGAGATTAAAAAAAACACTCACGATTTTTTGAATGCAAAAAGGAGTCGCCAATCAGATTTGCAATCAGGACACAAGAAGGTGGACTTCTCCTTTTTGCGCGAAATAAATTTTGACTTGCTAAAGGAATACGCAGAAAAGATTAACAACACACAGAGTGCAGAGGCACCCAACTGTTCCAACCTCGATGACGTAAAAAAGAGCCTCCATTCATTTAAGCAAAACGTTTGTGACCTATTTCCTAAGATATATTTTTACGTGAAGTTATTTATTTGCTCCAATACGGAAAAGCCAGACGAGAGTGAGTTTTTCCCTGGACTGTTTTCCCACATCGTGGGCCTCTTGACGTACAAAATAGTGGGCCTGCTCAGGTGAGTGCTTTTGCCTTTTTCATTTGCTCGCGAATGGGTGTGGAGCGCTCCCGCTCGTTTCGCAGCTCTCCACCCTCTCACCGTTGCAACACTGTAACATTGTAACATGTAACACTGTAACTTCGCACCCGCACCCCCCTGTAGCGAGGTGTACCTCATCATAAGGCTCAAGTATGCAGACCAAGTGGAAACCATATTTGAAGAGAACTACGTCAGCGACATTTTCCTCTTCCTGAATTCGAGCGAGCAGTACGTCTGCTCCTTTTCGGACATCCACGAATATTTCGACACAAACAAGAATTACAACTTTTGGGGGGAGTAATTTTTTTTTACAAAAAGGAGTTTGCGGGGTCATCGAATTGGCCATTTATATAATACAGCAGAAGGACAAAAAAAAAAAAAAAAAAAAAGGCTGTAATGGGGAGAAGACTGTGCACACACAAAAAAGGGAGTGTAAAAACGGGTGTGACAAAACATGAGGAAAGGGGGGGGAATAAAACTGGAGGAGCATTTCGAGCAAAATATTACACCATGTTTGCAGTGCGAATGAGTCAAGCGCCCTCCTCAACAGGATAATCAATAAAGTAAATTCCCCGGTCGGACGAAAAAATAATTTTGTTATTCTTGTGGCGTATGAAGTAAGACCACTTGAAGTAAAAGAGCCCAACGGGCAACTGCACACATTTGTAAAATATAAAAGTGGACAAATTAAAAATAAAAATTTCATTTTCCACCAAAATGAAAAGCAAATTTTCCACCGATTTGTAAATATCCAAAATTTTTTTTTTTAATTTTTTAATTCTGTACATATCCACAGCTTTTTTAAAATCAAAAATGATTAACCTCCTCCCATTTTTTGCTACAATAATTTTTTCATCATCCAAAAATTTCCCATGACTTATAAATTTTGAAGAAAAATCAACACAAAAAATTAATTCGTGTTCACATTTCTGGGCATTTATATTAATTTGTAAAACTCGAATGTGACATTTCCCGAAATTATTCTTGTAGCATAACAGATAATTCACATTGAAATCAAAAATGACAATATTTTTTAAAAAATTTTTATAAAAATAACTTGTACAATTATTATTAATGTCGTATATAAAGAGACTCTTGGAATTATTAAACAGAATAAGATTTTCAAAGAAAATTACTTGTTTGTTATTTGCTACTTCAACGTTAATTTTTTTTACAAACTGATATGTCCTTATGCAAAATACATCAATACAACTTTCGTAATATATATAAGCATAATTTTTGTCAATGTAAATGGACTTAATACTGTTATTCCTGAACATACACAGGATGTGATATTTTTCAAGAACTTCGATAATGCCGTTGCTGCTTTTTCGGCCAAACCCTATTGCCATGTTGCTCATGCCTACCGTGATGCTATCACTTCTTTCATTTTCAATTCCATTTTGATTATACCTACAGGACTCCTCCAAGGAATTACGGTGGGGGAGCATGTCACTTGCGCAATTGTTGCACAATTCCGTGGAGTCGTTCTTTTCAGAGTGTCCTCTGTTCAAATTCCCTTCGAGGAGGGACACATCCGTGTTGACCCCTTTGTTTTCCTTCCTCGTGATTCTGTACAAGCACACTTTACCAGTCAGGGAACCTATGGGGTGTGAAGGGAAATGAAAAAAGACGGTAAATATATATTGGGGCGGCAATGGAGCAAATGACACAACCACGTGTGTGCCTACGCCAAGTACGCAACATACCAGTGCAAATATAATTGTCGTCTGTGTATAGAACAACTATGGGGTCCGATAGCAGGGTCTGAATGCAGTTGTGAAGGACGATCTTTTGGCTTTTCCTCCCCCTTTGGTCGCCTCTCCGTCCCCTAAAGCTAAAGCAGATATTGTGCTTCCCATTGAAGCATTGATTCATCACCTTGCTTTCGTTACTCATTTTTATTATTTTTTCTTTTTTTGTATGACGTCACAACTTTGGCGAGGGGGTTCTGTCTCACATCTTGCGCTCACTCTTTTGGGAAGGAGCACCATAAGTGGGGGCGCCTAAACGCAAATAGGAAAAAGATATAAAAGAAAAAAAAAAAAAGCGCCTTGGCTTTGTCTCTATATGCCTTTCCTTCTTTGAATAAAGACGCATAACACGTTTGACTTCAAAATTGTTATGTACTAAGGGGACGAGGTCACAAATTTGGCAAACGAGAAAAAAAAAAAAAAATGCCACTTTTTTACTAGGCCTAGTTCCAAGGCGGGCGAAACGGAATATAAAAATAAAAGCATGTCAATTAATGTTCGTCACGTTTTGCTTTTCAAAATGGACGACATGGAGATGCCACCTTGTAATTTCAATTGGAAAAAAAGAAAAAAATACAAAAAAAAAAAATTATAAAATAATGCGAAGGAGCGGGGTAGGGCGAAATAACAGCAGATATGTTTATATTAAAAATGAGAAGACTGAGGGCGGAAGAAATAATCATAATAATAATAAATAAGTCAAAAAAGGAATCCTTGAAAAATGGAAAGACTAACATAAAAGTGCAGAAAAAAAAAAAATTGTAAAATATAAAAATAACAACGATGGTAAAAAAAAAAAAAAAAAAGGTAAATTTTTTCATTCTCCATCACCATTCTCTTCACCCTTTAAAAAAAAAAATGGTGTTCACCTTAAAAAGGTTTTGCGTGGAACAGTATTAATCTTCTGCTAAACAAAGTTGGTGCGGTTCGCATTGATCCAACCGATTGAGCATAAGGCAACACAAATAAAATAGTCCCCCATGCGCACATAAGCTGTGTATACATGTTCCACCGCAGGAGGTGTCCCCCCACTGATCCAGGGGTATAATAAAATAACAACGGGGAGGTAGTAATAAAAATGTCCTTGCACGATAGACATACGCACTTCAAATATGGCGATGGAAGGATCTAAAGGTCCTGCAGGAGGTTCGCGTCCTGTTCGTCCTGTTCGTCCTGTTCGTCCTGTTCGTCCTGTTCGTCCTGTTCGTCCTGTTCGTCCTGTTCGTCCTGTTCGTCCTGTTCGTCTTTTATGAAAGGCTCCAGCAGGTAGGAGGTAAAGTCTATCGAGTTAGCCTTTTCGTTTAAGCCCTTGTCGTACTTCCAAAAGCTGTATAGGGTTAAGTTGATTAGGTGCGTTTCGGAGTGTTGCAGATTTGGGATGTAAATGTGGGACGTGTGCACATTTAGCTGCTCTATGTGCCTGATGATTTTCTCCGTCCTGCAGTGCTTGATGTCTTCGACGTATCCTGGGGGAAGGGATGCGGCGGGACAAAAAAGTTGGCGTAGCGATGTGACATGATTTTACGGGGGGGACAGAAAAGAGCGACACGGATGGAAGCCCACACGAAGGTGGCATTAGCTTTAACTAATTTGCAACCGTTTGCAGCTGCGCTATGGGTGGCAGACACAGTGGAGCAGCCCTCCCCTCGCAAGAAAAGGCAATGTTACCTGCTACCTTAGACATGTACTTGAAGTAGCTCTTCTGGCCTACCGTTTCTATCGGAGTGACCTTTGAAAATACTTTCTGGTCAATGAACATGAAACAAATCTCGAAGAAGTAGGGAGAGGGGAGCTCAAAGAGCTCATTCTGGTTTTTGTACTCCTCTTCCTTTATGTTTATGAAATTCTTTATGTAGAACCAGAAGGGAAACTCTACTTCGACGTAAGTGAAAGACGAAAGGGTGATGGCAAGGTAAATTGGCATCCATTGCCTTTCGCCGGCTTTCATTTCTTTTATGTCAAATCCCTGCAAGGGTGTGTGTGTGCGTCATGCGCTGTGATGAGGTATTGACTACAAAGTGGCGTGCGCACGAAATGTTGAACTCCTCTCGCTAACCTCCACAAAGGCCGTGGGCAAGGGGGGGATGTCCACGAGGGCCTTAACCACGACGAGTTCACCCAACGCCCGGTCGTAGAGAGACATGTTGATGGCATCATTTAAAAAAAGCTTCGCGTACTGTATATTAGTGTAATTATAAGAGGAGTTCAGTTTGAGCGGCAAGTACTCAATATCGATGTCCTCATTTATAAGCGTCTTGTTCAATATAGTAGGTCTACTAATGTCAATATTGTCGATATAAATTCTTTCGTCATTAAAGGATAAATCGTTTTCCCCTACATCCACATTGTCCAAGTAGGAATACACGTTGTGAATATTCTCCCTACTATTAAAGTCGGTATTTTTTTTTGACCTCACATAAACTCCATTGTTTAAGACGTACTGATATAAATTGTTTGGCATGGGCATATCTTCCGCGTAAGACATTAACGTGGTTAAAATGTTATAAAATCGATCATATATAGACTTGAATGTAATAATTTTAATCTCCTTTTTATAATTTTCTTCCTCTGTACTATTATGTTCGTATTCATAAATAGAGTTTTCAATTTTATCCAATAACGACTCCCCCATCATTTTAGCATCCTCATCCATGCTCATATTTTTGTTTCCATATATCAACTGATTTCTTAAATATTGTAGGTAGTAGAAAGAAATGCAAGCTTCTACATTTTTGAATGGCAAAGGGGGGAAGTCTACAAGAACAATATTTTCGATATTTTTATTTGCATTATTTGCATTATTTTCTTTATTGCTTGCGTTTTTATTTGGTTGGTAATTATTGTATGTGTCTTCCTCGTTGTGTGCTCTTCTGGGATTTTTTCTGTTATAATTGAAAAGTTTTTTTTTTTTTTCATTTTGATTTTCTTCCTTCCCTGTACCAGTGGATGCTCGTTTATTGGTTTTATTCTTTTTTTTAAAAATGTTGAATACGTCGTCCATATTGAGTGGGCTCTGCGCGAGGGGGGTGAGCGAAGCGAGGTATACTGTCCGATGAACACGGCTGTATGGACACTCTGGGGGACACGGGCAAGCCGCCCATAACAGGAGTAAGTACTGCACCGGAGAAATACTCCCCTCCACCAATTACTCAGCATTATCTGTTCCCTTTATCGACCTATCACAATGATTTCTCTCCCTTTTATAGGTCAAATAAGACGCACATTGGGTTATATTCAACCCGCCCCACCCTTATCATAATTACCTTTCATGCATTTATGCTAAGTACCGCTAATGTGTATAACCTGGTTAACTCAATAGCTCTGGGAAAACCTATTGTTAGGCCTTTTAAAAACATATCTTAAGGGATCAAAACGGGGAGGGGCGACTTGAGGTGTATTGCCTCATTCATAGATGATGGGTGTAACATGTACAATTGCGAGACTTATATGGGAAGTACAAACAACAAGAGGAAAAAGAAGAAGAAGAAGAAGAAGAACAACAAGAGTGGTCCTCCCCCCCACTTTTTGACTAACATAAGAAGACAGCAATGTGTTACGCGCCCATTTGTAAAACGTGTTCTCACAAATGCCAACGGGAGAGCATTTGCGGCATTTTTTCTCCAAGTACCAATGATGAAATGCTACTGCTAAATATGGCGTCTCTTTCTCGCGATGCTTTTTACTATTATTTGCGGCGTAAGCATGTGCGCCTTATCCACACGGGGCTCTATAGCGGTCAAGCGAGGAGCCATGTCTAGACAGAAGATAAGGTGATTACCGCAGGAAAGTGCACGCCTTATTGCACTTATGTGTGTTTTTTTTTTTTTTTTTTTTTTTTTTGACTTCAATTTTGAAGGTATATCATCTCGTACCTCCTACCATATTGCGTAAAGAGGCGGACTTTTTTTTTCCCCATTAAACGGAGAGTAATGCGCTTCGTGCAAAAGGAGATGTTCAGGGGACAGTATTTCCACCGTTGTGAACACATTGCTATATATATTTTAACAGTTAAAAGGAAATGAAGTCGAATTGTTTTTCTCCTGCCGTTGATTTGTCATATTAAGCACATAATCAAAAATGACATTCCCCATTTTGAGGACTTGCCTTTCTCTTAACACAGAGAAGGGTCTCCTATTTTGCTCATTTTCTCCATAACAGACCGGAGGGAAAAACAATATAGATGCCCTTCCATGTTGCTCTGATTAGGTATTCAAAGGGAAAGACTTATGGAAAAAAAAAAAAAAAAAAAAAAAAAGTACCTCCAATTTTTCGTGCCTGATTAGCAAGATGGCATTGCCGCTTTGCTTCGAGGCGTATCTGTGTGAAGGGTAAACTAGTAGGCAAAATAGGCGACAACTTAGTAGACACGTTTATATGTACATAAATGTACATGACTGCGTAACCCCGCCCTCTTCTGCTAATGCTAACGCTAATGATAATGCTAACCCTAACGCTCCATGTGGACCTCACAAATTAATTAGCATTTTTTTTAATTCCGAACTTTTACAAAAATGATGCGCTGCCCTCAGTGGGTGCTTTAACAAATTAAGCCCATTTCGGTGATCACAAGAAGTTTATTTTTGTCTTCACCTTTTTGGATCAACGTAGATAGTGGCGGATGGACATTTTCCATACGGTGACTGCATATCGAAAGATGAGCAGCATCAGGAGGGGAAGACGGACACCGAAATGGGGTCAAGGGGAAAAAGGAGGGGTAGCCATTCGCGAAAATTGAAACTGCTCAATGGGTAGAATTGTGTCCAAAAAAAGGGGGTAAAAAATAGCACCCGTAAAAATACCTCTATTTATTTTATCACATTTTAATGTGGTTAATTTTTTTTTTTTTTTTTTTTTTTGTTCACGTTAATGACGCGGCTGAGGGGATAAAGATGGAGTTTAAAAGTGTGTCCCCATTCATAGATTCCTTTTTCCACTTTGCGTCTGTACCAAGTACAAAGTTGCTCATAAGTAGCGAAACGCACAGAAATATGCTTGTACCGTACGTATGTAATACACATACACACCATTTTACACACATGTATATGCTAAAAGTGGCCTCTCCACTGGTGCGCTTCGCTAGCGTTAGAGTGAATGTAAATGCCTTGAGGGCATAGTGCAACGCGAAAAAAGAAGGGGCGCCTGTGGTGCGTGGAGATTTATGTGGGGAGGAAAAAGGCGAGTGGTAATTTGCTTCCCCCTGAAAAGTTCTGCGAGGGGCATTTGGGGATATCGCGAAAATTTGGAAAAATGGATGTATTGGAAAAACTGCAAAAATCGCACACCTAGGAAAAAGTGTTCATGTGGGACAGGATGATGAAAAATCCGCATCACACAAAATGGGCAACGCAGAACACGGGAGAATTGCAACAGGGAGGGAGAGGGGTATGCCAGCAGAGGAATAAATTGCCTTTATCTTCGAAAAAAAAATAGCGCCCCGTTAAACTTGCTCTCTCTCTCCAAAGTTGGTAACCATTTTTTTAATCCGCGCAAATTTCACTTCTTAACCCAACTTGATTTGTATTTTTTTTTTTTGTCTGTGTGTTTTTGCTCTGAGCATATGTTTTTTGGTCGGTGAATTTTTCGCTAATACATATTTGTTACATGAAAAAAATTTGGAATGAATTTTTTTTGGAGCAAATTTGTGGTGCATTTTTCGCCTGTAGCTATTTTTCCGTTTTGTGAATTTCATTTTCCGCGTGTGATCCTGTAAACAGAAATATATTTTTTTTTTTGTTTTTTTTGTCCGCGTTTTGCATTCGCCCTTTTTTTTTTTTTGTTTTTTTTTCTCCTTCCGAAACTTTTAAAATTACAGTTTGTAACCCGTGCCGCTTGAATTGCCCTTTTTGGAGAGTGCACCCATGTTAACCTGGGCATAAATACACGCAACACAACGCAACACAGCATAACCTAATTAACCCATTAACCACTTAAACATGAAGGGCAAAATCTTCCTTCTGGCCATTTTTTTCCTGACGCTACATGTTGTGGCATCGTGTGATAAAACCAATATTACGGTAACCAAGTACAAACCCAAAAATGGAAATGACACAGAGCTCGGTACAAATAATAAGACAGATAGCCAGGGATCCGGAAACAGCAATGGGGATCTTTTCATGGGACAAAATATAATTAATTATTTTAAAAACATTTTAAACGATCTCAATAATCATTCTAAAAAGGATAGTGATGTTCCTGATGATGTAAAAATCATAGGTCAGGTGTCAGAACAGGTTCCTACAACGATTGAGGGAACGGATGACGAGGAAGGAGACGATGGGGTAAATGCACCAGGCCAGAACGGCGCGCAGAGTGGCCAGCAAACTGGTGCGAACAATGATAGGCTGACTGTCGCGCAGAGTGGACATAACGTGGGAGAGGCGCAGTCCAATCTTCCAGTCAAAGGAGAGATGTACAGCGGGTCCAGCCTAAAATTCTCAGACGAGCTATATGAAGATATCTTAAACAGCTTAAGTAAAAAGGGCGGTGAAGAAGGAATCAATTATGATCACAAATATAATGAGTTCAAAAAGGAATACGATGGGTTCTTATCGTTAAATAAAAACGAATATGAAATTATAGGAAAGCTTGTTGCTGCATTTTCCGTGTACAATGATGCCATTGGCGAGGATGCAGATTCTGTGTACGAATCGATTAAGAAGTCCTTTACGGATCCAAAGTTTAAACAAGAATTTAAAGACTTCATGAATGGGCTTTATGACTATGCTAACACGAAGCATCATATAAGAGGCGCACAAACGGAGGAGGCCAAGACATACCTCATGCTGTTTCAGAACGTACTCAATTTTCTCAACATGATATAAGGTGGGGCTTCACACGTGGGAATGCCTTACTGCGGCCATTTTAGGCGTATTTTGTTTAAACAGCGTTTGCAAGGCTCATTAAATGACATGCCGGGGCATTAGTCTCGTACCGTCCGTTCGTCACGTCTTTCGTTTTTTTCCGATTTGTCTTTCCATTTTGCACCATTTCGTCATTGCTACTCAGCGCATAGGATAATGGGCTCACAACCCCACATGGCCGAACGCACACAATGACGCAATGTTGATCCCCGTGACCACAATGTAGCGGATCTGCTCTGCTTACATATTTTTACGTTTTGTTATATTTTAAAGAACTTTATCATGCGGTCCATAATATACTGCGACGTCAAACATGTAGTGTGTTTCGACATTTTTTGGTACTTTTTTTTTTTTTTTTTTTTTTCGTGCATACGTGGTGAAAGACATTTTGGAAAACAACATTCCCCGCTTTGTTGCAATTTGCTTTTTCCTTTTGGGTCTTTTCCGCAAGGGGATGAACTTGCAGCCGTTTTAAATATTTTGTTTTTTACACAGCTTTACAAAATGGGGATGAAAAAATGAACCAAAGGAACAACGTGTCATTGAGAATTGTCTATTGCCGACAGAAAGGACAAGCGAGCTGACACACCATGCTCCCTTTTTTTTATTTTTTTTAAAAATCAATTGCGGTGCGAATTTTTTTTGCAAAAGTGGAGTATGCTCCTTTGGTACAGTCCATATGATTATTTTTATTTTATTATTTCAGGAAAATACTTTTTCATATTTACATTATATAGCGTATCCCTCAGGAAGTTTTTTTTTTTTTTTTTTTTTTTCTTCTTTTTTATTTATTTTCGTGTAGCATATTTTCCCTTTGAGCTTTTATTTATTTATTTTTTTTTTTTTGTGTAACGTATTTTACATTTGAGCATTTTTTTTGTTGGATTTGTTAACATGTGTATTGGTGTAATTGTGCTGGCGAAGGTGGAGCGAACGAAATTATACCTTAAGGGATAATGCACTGCCACATTTTTTGCGCGATGATGAAATGAGAAAAACTTCCTTTTCGTTTTCAATTTTTGTTTTTCTTCCATCCATTTGGCCAGCCTTATTCTGCTGGTCGCTCCACTAAGGGATTGCCCCGTGTTATGCCATTTTTTTTGGAGTGCATACATGAGGCCGAAAAAGCTGTACCAACCGAACTTCTCCATGTCTTCATTCTCAATTTAAAAAAGAAAAAAAAAAAAAGCTGTGCTTGTACATGTACACTTTAATCGGCCACGTGTAATCGGTGGTGAATTCTCCGACGAGAAGAGAAAACGCAAGTGCGCTTCCTTTGCAGTGGCTCATAAAAATACATGCATGCAAATGATGCAATGCTGGTGTATCGACCCTGAGCGAGGTGAAATTTGGAGCCGCTTGGCGTATTTTTCCAGTCATAATTTGCCAGGTGTGATAATTCACAAAATGAGCAATTCACGAGGTGCGGAAATTGCTAATTTTTTTTTGAGGATCTCTCTTTTGCTTCCAGGCAACTTGCCCGAGCATGCAATTTTTGCCATTAAGGAGTTCCTTTTTTTGAGTTGGAGAAATTATTAATTTGACGGGGGAAAAAAAAAAAAAA